ATGAATCGCAAAGAAAAGGTCAAAGTTGACGAAAGCGAACCTAGTTATCGTAAGTACTCCATTGTCCTCCCCCCCCCCACCCCCACCGCCACCTTATTTTCTGTCCCCCAAACCAATTAAACACACACACACACACAGATATGTACATTACACACACGCACGCATAAAAACAAGTGACTCTTGCACGTTGGAACACACACGCACGCACGAAACACACACACACGACCAGAAACACGTTTGCAGCGACTTTCATAAAGCCATGAAAAGAAAATGATAATTACATACTTACATAATACAGAAACTTAATAAGAAAAAGAAGAACTCCACAATGGAGCATGCATAGCAGGGGACCAGGGTCATCAGTTCAAAGGTCCTTCGTCGACGAATCATTCTGCCCATTACTTCCTAGACAACCTTTTTTTTGGAGTTAAAAATCAAAGGGGGGGAAAAAATTTTGGGAACGGGGTTTGTAAAGCCCTCTAGTATTGGCATTTTTACAAAAAGGATTCCGCCAAAAAGGGAATGTCGTGTACCCAAAGGGCCAAAGGTTGGTAAAAAGTTACTTTTAAAAGAAAAGGGTAACTTTCCCATTTAGGATTTGGTTTTGGGAAAATCCCGTGCTAACACAGTTGTGAAATCGCTGCAGATGTTTTCTCTCATTGTGTCTTCCTCCTTTTTCAATTTCTTCTTTTTCTTCTTCTTCTTCTTCTTCTTTTTTCTTCTTTTTCCTTCTTCTTCTTTTTCCCTTCTTCTTCTTCTTCTTCTTCTTCTTTTTTTCTTCTTCTTCTTCTTCTTCTTCCTTTTTCCCTTTTTCCCTTCTTCTTTTTTTTCTTTCTTCTTCTTCTTCTTTTTTTCCCTTCTTCTTCTTTTTTCTTTTCTTCTTTCTTCTTTTTCTTCTTCTTTTTTCTTCTTCTTCTTCTTCTTTTCTTTCTTCTTCTTCTTTTTTCCCTTCTTCTTCTTTCTTCTTCTTTTCTTCTTCTTCTTCTTCTTTTCTTCTTTTTCTTCTTCTTTCTTCTTCTTCTTTTTCCTTTTTTCCCTTCTTCGCCCTTCCTTCTTTTTTCCCCTTCTTCTTCTTCTTTTTCCCGTCTTCTTTCTTCTTTTTTCCTTTTTTCTTCTTCTTCCCCTTCTTTTTTCCTTCTTCTTCTTCTTTCTTCTTCTTTTTCTTCTTCTTCTTCTTTTTCTTCTTCTTCGTTTTCTTCTTTTTCCCTTCTTCTTCTTTTTTCTTCTTCTTCTTCTTCCTTTTTTCTTCTTCTTCTTCTTTTTCTTCTTCTTCTTTTCTTTTCTTCTTCTTCTTCTTCTTCCCCTTCCCCTTTTCTTCTTCTTCTTCTTTTTTCCCTTTCTTCTTTCTTCTTCTTCTTCTTCTTCTTCTTCTTCTTCTTCTTCTTCTTTTTCTTCTTCTTCTTCTTCATTTTTTCTTCTTCTTCTTCTTTCTTCTTCTTCTTCTTCTTCTTCTTTCTTCCTTCTTTTTCCCCTTTTTCTTTTTTCTTTTTCTTCTTCTTCTTCTTCTTCTTCTTCTTCTTCTTCTTCTTCTTCTTTCTTCTTCTTCTTTCTTTTTCCCTTCTTCTTCTTCTTCTTTTTCTTTTTCCCTTCTTCTTCTTTTTTCCTTCTTTTTCTTTTCTTCTTCTTCTTTTCTTTTCTTCTTCTTCCCTTTCTTTTTCCCTTCTTTTTCTTCGTCTTCTTCTTCTTTTTCTTCTTCTTCTTCTTCTTCTTCTTCTTCTTCTTCTTTTTTCTTTTTCCCTTCTTTTCTTCTTCTTCTTCTTTTTTCTTCTCTTTTTTCTTCTTTCTTTCTTCTTTTTTTTTTCTTTTTTTCTTTTCTTCTTCTTTTTCTTCTTCTTTTCTTTCTTTTTTCCCTTTTCTTCTTCTTTTTTTTCTTCTTCCCCTTCTTTTTCTTCTTCTTCCTTCGCTTCTTCTTCTTTTTCTTCTTCTTTTTCTTCTTCTTCTTCTTCTTCTTCTTTTTCTTCGTCTTCTTTTTCTTCTTCTTTTTCCTTCTTCTTCTTTCTTCTTTTTTCCTTCTTCTTTTTTTTCTTCCTTCTTTCTTCTTCTTTTTCTTCTTCTTTCTTCTTTTTTTCTTCTTCTTCTTTTTTCTTCTTCTCTTCTTTTTCCCTTTTCTTCTTTTTCTTCTTCTTCTTTTTCTTCTTCTTCTTCTTTTTCCCTTCTTTTTTCTTCTTCTTCTTCTTTTTTCTTCTTCTTTCTTTTTCTTTTTTCCTTCCTTTTTCCCTTTTTTCTTCTTCTTTTCTTCTTCTTCTTCCTTCTTTTTTCCCTTCTTCTTCTTCTTCTTCTTCTTTCTTCTTTTTTCTTCTTTCTTTTTTCCTTTTTTCTTCTTCTTCTTCTTCGTCTTCTTTCTTTTTTCCCCTTCTTCTTCTTCTTTTTCCCTTTTTCCCCTTCTTCTTCTTTTTTTTCCCTTCTTCTTCTTTTTCCCTTTCTTTTTTCTTCTTCTTCTTCTTCTTCTTTTTTCTTCTTTTTTCTTCTTTTCTTCTTCTTCTTCTTCTTCTTTTTCTTC